ATAAGATTACCATAATCCACAAGCAATTTAACGGCTTAAAAAAAAATCCCCTGATCCCAATTTTATCTCTGCTGCAATTATCTCATACGGCTTTCAAACTTGATAGTTTGTATTAATAATTTCTTTACTTGAAGACCTTAATTGGAAAGATGAATTGAAAAAATATCCTTTACTTGCAGACCAAACGGATACAATTAAAAATTTAAAGATAAATTTGCAACTTGCTTCTTCCTATAAGGACATATTAAGTCATTTTATCTTTAAAGAAATTAGTCTGGTTTCGATGTCTCTGGCCAGCTTAATTTCCAAGAAAATGGTTTTGGTGTAAAAAAACTATTTAAAGATATTGATACTGCTAAAAAAAAAAGTCGAAGGAATTGGATTATTAGATTAATGTTTTCACGCCACCATCAGGATATTGTCAGGAAAAAAACATAATAAAATAATGCAATATGAATAATAATAAGATCCTAGCGATAGAGAATTGGTATAACCCGAGGATTTTATATGTTAATAACAATAAAATAATGTAGTTATATTTAAAAAAATATATATGAAAAAACAAGGTAGCTGTTATCAATGAGAGCCGAAGACTTTATAACTACAATTCCGCGGGAGACTTGGCGGCCGACTCACCAGATTTCTTCCCAGATATTTCTTGTAATCTTCATAGAGAAGGAAACAAATATCAATAATAATAACAACGCCTTCCCTGACAACGAATTTTCAGTTATAAGTCCATCATACTCTTTTCTATATAGAGATGATGCTACAGTAATGCCTGTCATAGCATAGCTGTTAAACCCAAGCTGGTTTTTAGGGTAACGCACAAGAAAGATAATTTAAGTCCTTGTGTCTTGTTTATAGTCTTTTGTTTTTCCTTACCCCGGTTTTGTTTTCTTGAGTGCTTGCAAAGATGATGCTTCAATATCGGGACCTGGCCAAGCTTAAAACCAAAAAGGTACTCTCTTTGTTTCTCTTGAATGATCTTTTTTGTTTCCTTATTATATCACGTGGGTTTTTACTGGGATTTAGTTTTGGTTTGTTTCTTGGTTGGAATAAGTAAATGGGTTTCCTCTTTTTCAATTTTCACCATGTGAATCACTGGTGATGCCAATTATTGGTTCTCGATAACTTCATGTCAGGGTGGTTTTCCTTATTTCGTGGCTTGACTGGGGTAGAAAACTGAAATGCTAGTTTGATGCTTAGGGAGTGAAATGCAACTAGACTGGAAAGGGGCTTGAATTAAATAACCGAACATTTTAGATTTTATGAAAATTGAATTTCATTCATTTCAGGAAAAACTCAACTTGCTTTGATACTGATGATGCTGCTTCAAGAAATGAAAAGGGTTCCCTGGAAATGATTTTAGCATAGAATAAATTTTTGTAGATGTATTTGCAGTTGTTTTATGCTATATTTTGCTTCTACATTTCTAGATTTCTAGCCATTACGATATATAATGGCTGCACAAAAATGCGGGTTTAAGTTATAATCTGTTTTTTAAAATGTGTTGGCAATGGAAACAGATTGTTTTTGAAGATGTAATCGCTGCACGTGATTCTGCCACACTAGAGCATCTGAAAGAGTTAAGCTCCAAGCGCAGGGTAATTGAGGAGTCTATTAATCGGACTAGTTACATCACCGAGGCTATTGCTAGAGAAATATCCGGTGGATTGACTTCTCGTTGCGAGCAGGTAATCTATTAATTTCTGAATGGGAGTCTGGTTACGCAAAATGGACGTTTTTGTCTTCTGTATTGTGTGAAACTAGCCCTTCCTTTTGTGTGTTATCTAATTGCCAAACTTTCTACAAAGTGATGACTGTTGTGTTCCTTGTGTCTTCGATGAATGAACTCAAGCATAAAAGCCTTATCTCCTAGAGATATAGTTAAGAGCCTTATTGGAGATCCTGAATTTGTCATTTTGGTTTTGAATCTGTGTGACGTTATATGATCCAGTAAAAATGTAGTTGTAATCGAATTAAATGATTCAATTTGCATGTATTTTACAGTTGTCGTAGTCCTGTAGCATTTCACATATTATTCTGAGTTGATAACTTGTTGAAAATATCTCAGGAACGTCTCAGACTGGAACAATATTTACCATTACTGGAAAATTTCATTTCTCATGCTGATTTGATCAGCAGCAACAGGCAGAAGGTTCAGTGGACTTCACAACTCAAGATACGATGGAGTAGTGCTACTAGCTCGTCATCTTTCTTTGACCTTAGAGGTCCAAAGTTTTTTCAAATCGATAATTTGCGATTTGAGCTTGTTATGATCCATTTCCTTTATGGAGCAACACTACGGGAGAGGGCTTTGGAGTTTCTGTCAACAGGTGGGTATTGCTGACCACTACTTATCACATCTGGATGACTCTGTTGATTGATATTCTATTCACTACCTTTTTTATTGTTGTAGATTTGAAGCAATCAGCCTTCATTTTCAGAGAAGCTGCTGGAGTTTTTCATTACCTGGCTCATGATGTTATTCCATCTTTACAGTCACCAATATCAGCAGAAAGACCTTCAGAAGCTTCCTCAGCTTTGTCTGCTGCTATGAGTTTCATTTGTTTGGCTGAGGCCCAGGTTAGCTCTTTTTTTTTAGAGGTCATTTCACAAGAATAACATGAGATTAGACTACAGGAAATCTTGAGCATCAGATCATGGGATTCAAGTGTGGCCCATTGATCCCACCAATCCATTGGTTTGCACTTTACTTGTCATCTATTCTTGGAGTTTTTCTTTATAATAATTTCATCAGTCGATAAAAGTTTGCATATTGATAACTGATGATATGACAATGTGATAGGCGGTGTATACAAGGAGGGCGGAGGAAAAAGGTAATACTGGTTTTGGTGTTCTGGCAAAGCTGCACTATGGTGTTGTGGAATTGCTCGGTGAAGCCACAAGTGCTATACACTCAGGGACTGGAGAAGGCAAGACTATTTCATCACGGTTTTTGGTATGTATGTAGTGCATGGTAGTGTCAAGATTGTTTGCATTGTTCGATGAGTATACATATGCGTCTTGGTGGAAACCATAAACCTTTTTAGTCTTATATGGTCTCTTTTTCATCAAAAAAATAACTAGCTCGCACAGAAATATTGGCAAGTGGCTGGAGGAAGGAGACAAAATAGCCAAAGTTATTGAAAATCCTCTTAAGGGGTATATTCATGTTACATGGATTCGCTATTTGCTAAATGTTAATGGATGCTTTCTATGTCTTGTTTAGGAATTTATATCATCTTGCAAGGCACTACATGAGTTACGAAGTAAAAAACACCATGCAGAAGGTTTAAGGAACGACGGCCAAGTTGGTGTTTCTGTTGGAGTTCTTTGTGATATACTGATCAGTTCAAAAAAGAAAATGCCAGCGGAGGATTCATGGAAAGCTGTTTTCAAGAATGAAATTGAAATTGTTGCAAATACACTTAGGAAATTCGAACATGAGAACGAGTTTGTTTGGCATGAAAAGATTCCTCATGGGGATGAGCTGCCATCACCCCAAGGTATCAAAATTGTGGAGATTGTGCCCTTTAAACCTAAAAAATGGGAGAGGGAACTTGCTTTCAGATTGTAGTTAATGTGCAGAGAGTCATTGTATAGTACCTCTAAGACTGGTCTTCTTTTTTTATGGATGCAAAGGTAAACAAACTTCTCGACGTCCTCAACTTTAATGAGTATAAGGCGAGAAGGGTGTTTTTTTTTTTGTTTTGTTTGGTATGGGCTCAAAGCCGGTGGTTGGGTTGTTTGAACAAAGGTGTTTGTGTAGTGTTTATTATTGGCTATAAGATTGTCACTGGGCGGTTCTTTCTCTCTTGGATTAGAATTTTGCAAGTGTGCATGACCTTTATTTCCATTTTATCCGTGGGTTCAGAAATCGAAAGCTGTGTTATTGCTTGATTTTGCGTTGTGAGGTGCAAAGCTGTGTTCGCGTCTTTATGGAACAATCAGGGGCCACTGTTGGTTTTATCTTCGGAGTAGTATGTGAGATTCCGAGTAATGCAAAGAAAAAAAAAGTCAATAAAGAACAGCAGCTCGCATAGGCTCGTCTGTAAAAACATTCGAGCTCAGGTTAGCCCTTCTCCACTAGTCTGTGCATGTGGTATTTCTTTCATCTTGAAACCAGATCATCTTTGGTTCAATGGAAGGATGGTTGCCATACCCATTTGTCTGGTGGAGAGCCTTCTTGGGCTTGAGTTGCACACAGCCATTCTTTCTCACCACTTTTGCCTTATTTGAAAACCTAGCAGCAATTTTCCTGGATCAAAGAAGGAACTTGGTGCTTGTATGCTTGCTTTGTGGCCTGAGCGTTTTAAATGAGTTGCCCCTTGCCTTGACGATTGCTTGGTTGTTGATCCGTGCAGTAAATCATTGATGGCCTTATCTTCTAAAATGAAAAAAATAATTAGTAAATGAATAAACTAATATTTAAAATCCAATATATCTGGGAGGAGCTAGGGCTTTGAACCGAATCATCTGCCCTTCCTATAAAACTCTCTCTCTTTTCTTTTAAATGAAAAGGAAAAAATAAATCACATGGTAATTTTAAGCTACACATCAATGATAGTCCCTTCCTATCTATTACAACTAAAATATATATTAAGTGATATTTGACTTCTTAGATGTAAATGACGTGTATAAATATTTTTTTTTTATTAAAGTGACTCTTAATTTCAAAAAACCAAAATAAAAGTTAAATAAAATAATAATTTGGCATTTTTTTTAAAGCATAGCAATATCCTTTGAGGAAACACATTTTGATTTTGAAGCAAAATGACATTAATCAGATAATTTATTTTTTTTTAAAAAAAGAAAGAAGATAAATATACTTTAAAAACGTAACAATGGCAAGCAAGCACCTGTTAAGAAATGATGGGTGATTGCTAGCCACGTGGTAGAAACAAACCCATGTGATTGAGAAGAGTCGTTAGCCATTCACGGAAGAAAGTATATTTAATGGAAGAATTCGCGGGAAGAAACAGCTAAGCGGGGGGGGGGGGGACTTCGCTAATCTAAACAACGCTCGTTACTCTGCCTTAAATTCTCTTCTCATCGCTCTTCATCAACCCAATTGTTACTCTCTTTTCTATAATCCTTATAGAAAAACAGCCAGACCCTTCTCTCCATTTAAGCTATTCTCACCCACCCGTCCTGATAAGATCATTCAAGTTACCCCGTCTCTGAAGAAGAGAGCACAGTTGGGTCCACTTCTGCTGCCACTGCCACTGATGTGTTTATGCTCACTTACTTGGAGGTGATATTTTCCGTCTCCTTCATCTGGGAATCCCTTACCTTCTGCATGAATTTTTTTTTCCAGTTTTATTCTTGTTAGCAATATTATCCATCTCTTTCTTTTAATTTCAGGGGAATAGTTGTTTATGAGAGGTGGGTGAGGCTAATGTTTTGGTCGACCTCTTTCCGGTGGGTAACTTGGATTTTGGAATCCCCAGGCTTTATGATGCTGCCAAGGAGGTCCTTAAGAACTTCCAGGTACTACTCCTAATCTTTGAATTATTATGTTAAGTGCTTATTGCCTGGTTAATTTTGACCTCGTGCAGTTTGCCTTTTGGTTATTCCAGTATACACGTTTTGTAGTCCATTATCCATTAAGATTTATGTGGGATGGCATTTTACAATTGTTTTCCTCTGTAATTCATTGTGGGACTGATTGTGAGTGGTGGAAATTGGTTACAAAGATAATGCAGCTCAGTGATCTTCCTGAAGTGGATTGCCTATAGATCTCTCAAAGCCCAGATGATCATTGCCACTTAAAGACCCATTCTCGATCATCCAAATGCTCATCCATTTTTAGCAATGTAAGTTTTTCTCGATTGCAAATTTTATCCCTCATTTCTGGCTGTAGCTATTGTACAAGCTTATATCTTGAGTACAAGCAATTTATTCAAATAGGAAATGAACATTATCTACTGTGTGATCAAGAGAGAAAAAGAGATCAGCACAGAGGCTTGCAAAGCATCTACATGGACTTAAACTGATATCTGTTTTAAGTGACGTTTTTTGCCCTCTCCATAGGGGGTCTTCTATGAAATCTTTATGCCCATCCAAAGCATTACATCATTATGCCATTCTCATGGAAGAAAGTATGATTTTTCTTTGCTTGTAAGAAGAATGTCTTATTTCTAGTGCTTTAAAAATTGACCGTGCAAGAAGACAAGCTAGAGAATTGGAAAGTTACTCTTCGCTCTTTCAGTGAAAATAAATTCCAGGTTGTTTCTCTTTGTGTGCACGTCTTTGTGTATCGCATGCCTGCTTGCTAAGAGTGCCTTCATGTGTGCGTGCATTACTGCATATATGCATGCTTGTCAATTGAGGCAGGCTAAACACTTGCCAAAAGCATAGAGTAACTTTTCTTGATTGGAGTCTTTTCTATTGTCAGATTAGCAGAGCATGGCTTATGGTTCCATTTTCAGATTAGAAAACTATGGTTATGTCGCATAAACAGGATGGTGTTTAGGCTTCTAACTCTTTCCAGTGCATGTGTTCTCTCTACTCTGAACCTTCTTCTTGACATTGTTATGACCAGGCTATGCACTGTTACTTTTAAACCAGTTTGAAGCTTTGCAACCGGGCATGCAGTGCCATGATACAAAACAAGCTGTCTTTTCTTAGTGATGATGATTTAAGGCATCTCCACATTCAAACCCAAACAAACCTCAGATCTTTCAGGTCACATATCTAGAACCTGGTCAGAGTTTTGAAATTAAAGCTAAAAATGGTTCTAAAGTCGGAGTTAAAGTTCCTGCAGGGCCAGTTTTAGGTCCTCCTTGGCAGCATCATGAGAAGGGTTGGAGGTTTTCGTGCTTGAAGAGAACTACTAATTACTTGCATTGCCCATGGTTTAGTATCTATTTTAGTATTTACTAACATTCTGGTGTTTTGTATGCTTTGCACTCGGATACCTCATCAATTCTCCACAAGGTCAATTAACACTCTACTATGAGCCTCACTGTGTATACAACAAGGATTTTCTTGAGAAGGAACGTGCCAACATTGTTATCACACTCATCATAAAACAGCTTCTGCAAAATTTACTTTGGCTTCTGGACTAGAAGATGCAGTTCAGCTTGCAAAGTTGGTGCAGGCCAAGTATTCAACCTGTTCGTTGATTTTTGCTGCTTCATTTATATGCTTTCTGATAACATTTTTCTATCAACTTCCTGTCTTTATTTTCTGGGTTCATTGCACCAATGAAAAATGGAGACCTCGATAGCAAAGGGTTTCTTGCCACAATCATTCAAGGTTTGCTTTCTTTTATCTAACCTCGTCAGTTTCCATTGAAATAAAATTAGGATGGGGGTACATAAATTTGGACACTGCAAACACGATATGGGAATTACTATGGTTAGCGCTCCTAAATTGAAATTCTTGCACAACACAGAGGAAGAATTTGAAAAGAACAACCAAATGATAGAGGGATGAACTATACGTGTAAAATCTATTGTATAGAATGTGATATAAAAAAATGTTATTTTATACGTGTAAGCTTGTTCCCAATTGAGTTCTGGGAGTGAAGTAGGTCTTCTTGAATCCATTTCTTGGTTTATCAAAGACAGCCTAATTATGCTGGAAAAAGTTGATTGTCATCAGTTCTCTGCCCATAAGCTGGTACCATTTCATATTAGGCAAGGCCGCGAAGGAAGAAAATGGAAAATTAAAATCTGTTCAACCAATTTACTCGAGTCAGGTTCTATTAGAAAACGAAAAAATTGATAAAATATTTTTTTTCTTGTTTTTAATTTGAAGAAAAAAGAAGGCAACATAAAATACCTTATCTTTAATACACACAATTTTAGCTCCTTGAAATTTTTAAAATTCACGCGGGGAATGTTTAGTAAATCGATTTTTGGTTTCTTTGTTATGTATTGCGTACTTGTTTTCAGAATCCTGAATATTGTTTGAAAAAATTAAGAGAAAATGACTTGTGCAACGTATTCATCCTAAGAACATGCCAGATTAATGTACAATATCGCAATACTGCCAACCTAAGATGGTATAGAAACAGTTGCGATTATATCATACGGAAACTGGGTTTTTTCTTCCCAGTTCGTGTTCGTACGTTCGGATCAGTGGTGTGTTTCAACTGGAAAGATTTTGATATGCATCTGTACTTTCTCTGAAATTGTGCTGTCTTGTCATTCATCAAAACATAAGTATTTTTTCAATGGCATGAAGAGATGTAATAAAATACCTACTGTTGTGCACAGCTGTTCATGATGGAAACCATTATAGATGGCACAGCACAGCTGTTCATAAGTATCTGATAACTAGACCCGCAACCTGTAAAACAAGAAGAGAGGCATATTAGTTAGTGGTTTATTTTGTGCTAATTTCGTTTTTAAGGGATCAAATGCTGTGATAAATGCGGGAAAGCAGGGGGATTAAACAAATTGCAGGCCTCCTTGTTCGTTTTTCTTTCTGGTTTCAGATCTATATATATATATATATATATTTTCATACATAGTCCGTCCGTAGGCTCACACGGAAAGGCCACTGGATCGACAACAAAAGGTGTCAACGGGAATGCCCACAAGCACAAGCGCATGCATCGTATATAAAAAGTAGGAAGCCTTTTCGTTAAGATTTGAGACGTTTTCTAGCGCTTTGAATTTTCCAGATTTCCATTAAAAGAAGTCTCAGGTCCGATTCCAAGATCGAAAAAAGCATTTGGAGATGAGAATGTGACCTGTTCCATGTTATGCTACGCCGTCAAGATTAATCGGGTCCCTCGTATGGCAGAAAAAATAATATCCAAGCGACCAACCTTAATCAAAGCATAAAGCAGAGCCATCTTTAGCCATGAAGCTTCGAGAATGATATACAGGTGTGTATAAATATTCAAATACACATCAACTATATTCTATTAATGCATGTTGATGCGATGGCTTTGCTTCATTTGTTAATAGTTAGCACCTGCCATGTTATTTGGCTCTTGTGATAAAAAAAAATTCAAAAAATAATTGATCGATCATCACTCACAGCGCAGGGCGTTGAGAACCCCGTAAAATTAACACACAGCGGCCATCCAGTTTTTAAATTTACCGGGTTTTAGTATACATAACTACCGCAACAAAATTAACTTTTACTGGCATTGTCTGGAATTCAAGGCCATTTTAAAAAGTTATCATTATTGACATTTTGCTTGTTATGCCGCCACGTTATATACAGTAAAATATATTTTTACCAGCATTTCTACTGCTACACAGACACTCTTGTCTGTAATGATGTTTTTTAAAAGTTTTGATGTTTTTTTAAATTTTGTTTTAAATTTTTAATTTTTTATATACTGTGTAAAAAATAATTTTAATAAATAAAAAAATATTATTTTAAAATTAAAAATATTTTGAAAAATAATATTTTATCATTGTTTTCTAAAAATAGCATTAAAAATAGCATTCGGAAATATATATATATATATTTTAAAAAAATTAATTTTATTTATTTAAAATTTATATATATTATTTTGATGTGCTGATATTAAAAATAATTTTATAAAAAAATTATTAAGATGGATTTTATATAATAATAATAATAATAATAATAATAATAATAATAACAACCTACCTACATTTATAAAAATATTATTTTTAACATTCAACAAGCAAGGAAGGATTGGGGGTTTAATATTTGAAAGTCCAATACAAATGCAGAATAATGAAAACTTTTTTTTTTTTTTGTGCCCACTAAATCAATAGGAAGCGAACAATATTCAGCGGAAGGCAGTTTGACATTCGAAATGCCTCTGTTGGCTAGGTGTTTCCCTCTATATGCTTAAATATTCAGCCGTGACCCTGTCTAAAACATAATCACAAAAAAAAAAAAGAGGAGCTTTTTAATGGCTCTCTTTTGTGCCATAATCCACTTCCCTTTTCATTTCCTTTTCCTTTTAACAATGGAGTAGAGAGCATATCATATTTTTTTGAATCTTACAAGAAGAGAGCATGATAAGTGCGTGAAAGAGTTAACTACTATAATCCAGTCTTTATGTTTTTAGTAAAATAATTAATTAATCCCTTTAATTTATAATACTTGAATCCTTTTATTTATTTATTCATTTGCATCTTAATCCCGGTTATTTTCTTATAACGATTTAATTATTTTCGTTTAAATATCCTTTATTTTTCATTAAAATTTTTGGTCTCGCAGATTAAAAAAAAAAAACTAGAAATACTCTTACAGAGGATAATTCAAACATTTTTAAAGAATTAACAATGAACTCTAGCCAATAAACCGATTTACAGTTTTCCAAACCATAAAACTTAAATTATAAAATAATGAAAAACACATGGACAAACTATAGTTTACTTTACTTGAAACATTCAAAAAAATATAAGCGGCAGGAGTAAAACACTGTTCTTCAAGACAGGCACTGTGGATTTGGACAACATTTTTACTATTTCGCCACCCATTCTAGAAATCCATGGCACATTATTGTTATTTTCACGGGATTTATTAGTTATTATCAAGTTAATTAGGTCAAATTAATCCTTTTTATTTCTTGAAGTGCAATATAATTAATGGTTTAATATTGGTTGCAAAAATGAACTCACTGGGATTTAGAGATATTTTAGTCTTTATAATTTAGTTAATTTGTTTTTCTCATGTTTTTTCAGTTTAGGGGCAAAAGGATAATTTGCAAGGAAAAAAATAATAAGAAAAGGACGGGGAGCATGAACAATTGTTGTGGGTTTCAGAGAGCGCAAGTGGTGATGTTTGGTGATTATTTTTTACTCGGTTAATTTTTATTAAATTAAAATTTTTATAAAAAAATTAAAATTAATTAAAACTAATAAATTTTGGTTTGATTTTTTTAAAATAAAAATTAATTTAAACTGATTTAGTTTTGTTTTTATTAATTTAACTTGATTTTTTGAGTTCAGCTTGGTTTGAGTTTGGTTCAGTTTTTTAAATTTCATACTTATAAAATTAAAATTAAATTGATTCATTTTTAAAAAAAATTAATAAATTAAATTGATTTTTTTTATAATTTCTCTGATTATTTTTTAATAATTTTTTCAATTTAATTAGTTTTTAGTTTTTTTGCGCGTCTCTGTCGTCGGGTGATTAAATCTACTTCCAGGGTTACAATTGAATCATTTTGGTGGCCTCTCCACACTCGAGGCACGCTTTGTTTACGTGTTTCCAATTTAATGCCGATAACCTCCCCCACTCCCCCATGTTCCTCTTCTTGGCTCTCTAAATTTTTAAAATAACTTTTTAATTATTTTTTTCTTACATCAAATTTGACTAAATTTAATAATATTATTTTTATTATTATTTATTTTATTTAAATTAATTTATAATTTTTTTTTCAATTTCACTCCCCAGTATTTTTATTTTTAAGATTTGGTGTCCGCCTTTGACTAATATTTTTTTTATTTAAGATGGCTCTTAAAATTAATTATTTTTTAAATAATTTTATCATTGAGAATTTTATCCTATCAAATTTGATTCTTAATTTTTTATTTCTATTTTTTTACCTTAATTTTTTAAATTAATTTTTTTATAGTTTCATTCTTCAATATTAAATTTGTTAGAAGTTGAGCTTTTTAATTAAGTTTGGGTTTAAATTTTAAAGGATTAAGGGTTTGAGAGATTACCCGGGCTTGTTTTTTTTTCTTGGAAGCTCATTTTTTTTATTTCATCCTCTAGCATCTGTTTTTTCTTTCTATGATATTTTTAATCTCGAGTTTTTTCTCTCTCCTTGTTAAATTTATTTTTTTAATTTTTTTTAAATTAAATTAATTGATTTTATTGTTCAATAATGAATTGATTGAATGTTGAGCTTTTTGATTGATCTCGAGTATAAAATATAACGGGTGAGAAATTTGAGAGATTGATATAAATTTAAGAGCTCCTTCGAATTTGCTTATTTTTATTTTAAGTTTTTTTTTTAATTTTTTTCTTGTACATTACCTTGTTTTTTTCTTCATTAAATTTAGTTTTTTTAATATAAAATTTATTTTTAAATTAATTAAATAATTAAATATAAATATAAACTATTTATTTTATAATATTTTATTTGGTTTGGTTTAGTTTGGTAGTAACTGCTATAATAGCACGTTTAATTTCTTTCAATTATTCGAATCTTAGGTTTTTTTAAAGTATTGGGTAAACATCTCCTTTTATGTGAGCAAACAATTTTATAGCCGGCAACATAGGGTGTGTCATGTAGCTAGTTCTAAAAGTATGGGCATAGAGTTTTCATCTTTTGTTTGTTTTTTTAGAGAAAGGTGACACAGGTGATACAAATGCTTTTAATATGACTGCTTAAGAATTGACATTGTTCTGATTTCTCAGTTAGGTCATTGGAATATTCCAAGGTCCCATTATAGCTCCACTTCGCCACATAAACCAAGAAATGACTTTATCAGTTTTGAGAAACTGCAAGAGTCATTTGGCCTTAAGATTCACTGAAGAGACGCTTTCTGCTATTGACCATCCCCACCGCCTTCTCGGCATCTACTGTATATATTCTGCAGGTTCTAACTCCAAGT